CATTTCATTCCTTTACTTTGTAGTTCGTTGCTAGAGACTAGTAATATTTAAGTTTGGGGGTGTGATGAGCGTTGAAAAGTGCATATTTAAACTCCTTAAGCTCGAGTATTCTAGGACCTTTATCTATCTTATTTTCTCGTTTTAGACTAATTTCATGTTATTGCCCTTTTTAGGTGTTTATCCCCAAAATAAGTCAATTCAGCCAAATTAGAGCATAAAAGAAGCAATCTCAAACTGAATGGAAGAATGGAGCAAAGTGGAAGCAAAGTGGTGGAAATCAGCAATCTTCGATTGATCATGAATATTTTCAATCGATCTCACATTGATCGATCTTACTTTACCTAGATGGATTAAACCCCTTGTCTTTATCCTAAAGAATTGACCATCTTCGATCGATCCAATTTTTTTCAGATTAATCGAACTTCTTCAATCTTATCCCCACCGATCATTTTTGTCTTTTTCCCAAAATATCCCAAAAATATCTCAGATTTGTCTTATTCCAAAAAGGCGCCGCTAAGGATTGATCGATCTAGCCTAACTTCGATGGATCTGGCCACAGTTCGATCGATCTCATCTGAACTCGATCGATCAAACCTCCTCAAGTCCGAATTAAAACAAAGTCCAACTTATTAAAAGATGGCTCATGGTGCCATCATTGAAGGGACCCTAGTGCACAAGTCCAGACCATTAGGTGTGACACTTGAGCTACCTATATAAGGATTTGGAGCCATTTTAAGAGCAACATTCATTTAGATACATACTTAAAGACTAAGAAAAGCTAGAGAGAAGGGGAGGCTAGAGCTTAGAGAGACACACACCTTTTTGGGAGTTCTTCCATTCATCTAAGGTTTTAACTAAGGAAAAGAGCATTTCTACCATGGAGATGGCCCTTGAGGGTTGGATGATTATATCAATGAGTGGCTAAATATCTTCTTGGGGCTAGAGTTAGCCCTAAGCATGCCTTCTAGACCTTAATGCTTTGTATTTTGAGGGGATTTGTGTTGTAATGTTGTCTTGACACTTGATTTATATATGAATCTTGTTCTTACAATGATTTGTGTTGATTAATACTTCCAATTGATCATTTTATTCTATCCATATGTCTATGTATGCTAGAGTAGATGTTCATGTGTTTATCTCTTGATTTTGTGATATTGATGCATGTCTATATGTATTGATGCTATGAATCTAGAGATTGTTAAGGCACAGTGCTCAAATAGAATACTCTTGTGGTTTGTTTGATGGTTCATACTCATTTCTTGATGGATTGTGCCTCTACCTTAGTTTACTTAGTTTAATTTTCATGTCCTTAGCTTAGAAGTAGTGTAGTTGCTTTACTTTCTTAGATGTGAGGACAATCCATGCTTATTGTTTGATATTCCATACTTATGAATACAAGTAGTATAATTCTCTAACTTGTTAGCGTGTTGATTGTGAGCTTAAAGGAAAAACTAATGGCTTAGTTTTATATGTTGTGCTATTCACTATGTTGTCTAGACAATGTATACTTAAATAGTCAATCCATACTTGTTGCTTCAATCAATCACACCTCATTGTATTGCAACACATGTTTCCCCTCATTTATTACACATTGAATGTCCAAAATGGTGATGTTTAGTGGTGATCTCTAGATCCCAAGATCTCTCTCTCTTGTTCTCTACCCTTTTATTTATTTCAATTTCTTTATATTGAATTCATTTACAATGTATTTTAATTAACCAAACAAACAATCTTTTGATCACTCGACCTACTAACCCTATATATTGTTTCCATTACAAATACGCCCACAATCCCTTGGGACGATCCCTACTCACCCTACCTATATTTAGTACTTAGAGTTAGTAGTGGCTTTTTATAAATTTAAAACTTGGCCACACTATTTTGCACAAATTTGGAGTGTTGCAACGACGTGCCACTAGAAGAGGGGGTGCCCAATGCAACTTGAAATAAAGCTCAGGCCTGAGGGTGTCCAGTATTATAGGGGAAGGCCAAAGAGCTTAACCCAGACCGGTAAAGTTGAATGTGAACTTTTCTGAAAACAAGGAGTCCAATGGTTAAGGATTAAGGGCTTGTTAGCAAAGAACCATGGTCCCTCAGCCATGATTTGGTCACAGTTTACTGTAGATGTGAAATGGAATTCAAATAAACCCTTTTTAGAGCTGGTCACTTTGAGAAGGCCCTTATCAGACCAAAGAGAAGTGGCAATGTCTCTAACCATACCAAATGGAAGACACTTGTGCACAAAATAACCCAAAAGGTTAGTTTTCATATTCTTGAGACCATCATGTTCTGTTTCAGGTGGTAAAGAAATGGTGCAGTCAGAGGTTCCAGGGATGTTTATAAGACAGAGTGGAATCCTAGAAGTTGATGTTCTGGTGAATTTTGACTTGGGTGAGGAAGGATCAAGAGGATTAGATTTAACAATTGAAAACCAAGTTGGGGATGAACCAGTTTGGTTAGAATTGATGGTTGGATTAGTTGGCTTGGGATGGAGAGGGTTACTTTCTAGGGCAATGTGAGGATGTATAGGGTCATGGTTTAAGGGAGATGTAGGGTCATGGTTAGTTGCCAAAAGAGGACGTGGGAAGGTGTTTGTGTCAGATAAAAATAGAGAGGGAAGTCAACAGAATGACTGACATTATGTATTTTAGGAGAACAATGGTTAGAGGCATTACCTGGAGGGTAAGAGGGGGCTGTTAGATTCAAATTCAAAATCAAGTTTGAATCTGAGCTTACGTCAGCCTCATGGTAGCTGATGTGATGACTATAGGGAGGATGAGTGGCGGAGCTGCACCTCTGAGCTGGTTGAGACATGGTGTTAGGATCTACAGCAGTGGTAACTTGTACTGAGACACTCTGGGAATGGAGCGTATTCTCCTTGCAATGAGCCTTATCCTCATCCTCCGAGGGAAGATCATGGTTGGATGCAATAATATGATCACTGAAGACATTGATTATGTTCCTCAATTTGGCTTGAAAACGTAGACCATCACCAATGATCTCCCTAAGCCATTCTACCTCCTCCAGCAAACGAGCATATTTGTAATTGCTCTTATATTCCATTAAGTCAACCCGCAGTCTGAAAATCTCATCAATCAAAGCTTGGGTGTTCCTTGGATCAATGTCATTCATTGATGTAGTGAATCGCAGGATGTTTTCGATGTCGCAAGATGTTGTATGTAGTGAATCGCATGTTTTGACTTGAATCCTTCTTTGACAAAGTTAGCATCAGTTTTTTTTTTTTTTTTTTTTTTTTTTTTTTTAAAAAAAAAAAAAAAAAAAAAAAAAAAAAAGAAAAAGAGGAAGATTGATATAAATTAGTTATAACATTAATATGGACAAAAATAAGAGATTGATTTAAATTTTTTTATTAGTTGTTTATTTATTAAAGGAACATGTACCGTTCACAATAATATAACTTTTTATTAGTGCAAGATGTACAATTAACAATAACACTAATATGGATATAAATTAGAATTTGATTTAATTTTTTATTAGTTATTTATTTATTTATTTATTAGAGAAATATGTACAATACACAATAAAATTAATATGAAAATAAATTTTAGTTTAATTTAAATAAAATGTTCTAAAATGTTAAGAAATAAAAAATTGTTTACACTCTTATAATAGTATAGATATAAATATAGGTATATATAAATAAAAATAGATTAAATATAATTATCGCAACATACTTATCCCTTTATCCCTTTTTTCAAATACTACAAAACCACTCTATTCTTATTTTTAATTTTTAATATTAATATTATCAATGCCAATCATTATAAAAATAAAGAATAATTATAAAAATAGAAATATATATATATATATATATATATATATATATATATGGTAGTACTATCAAACCTGGTCCTTAGGATTATTGGGTTCCACTAAAGCAATGAAAATCAAGAAACGAAGATAAGAATTGGTGGTTTCTTTTCAATTTATAATATTTAATTTATCAAATATATTAATTAATTTTCTTTGCAGTGAGAGAATTTTTTTCTTTTCCTTTTCTTTTAATTTTTGGAAATATAGGGACTTTTACACCCGCGGATTAAATCATATTTGTGTAGTGAATTTAAAGAATGAATTCGGAAAGGATTTTTACGGTATGCGAAGTGCAACGATCTTCTATTCTTTTTGGGTTAATTTGATTTGTTAAAGAGGCCTATCTCGCATTACTTAGACATGGAACCACTAAATTTGTTTCACATTCCATTTGAACTTTAAGTCTATTTTGCTATGTAAAAAATGTACATTTTAGTCTTCCAAAGTTTAAATACGTTTTTGCACTTTTACTGCGAGGAACACCAAAGGGAAGGTTTCATTTTGTAAAAAATATTTGGCAATACTTTTTTTATTTTTTTATTTTTTATTTTTTGTATGAAGAGAGTAGTTTTATAATATTTGGAAAGAAGATTAGTGGGTTTGGAAGGTGATACTTAGATTTAATTTAACAATTATTATAGAAAGTGAATGGGGAGAGGTTATGATATTTTAATTTATTTATGTACTTGACTTTAAGTTGATTTGTAGTCAAGTAAAACAAACCTGAGAAGAGGTTAATGAAACTTAACTTGAGTAATAAAGGCAAACCTCAAAAATTTCGGAGTAATTTACCCTTTTGTTTCTTACAAGTGCTCCATAAAAACTTTGAGACAAAGACAATGTCTAATTACACGGCATGCTCCCCATAAAAACTTTTTTTTGGCAACAAAGATGATGTCTAACTACATTGCATTGAACGCTCCCCATAAAACAATTTTTTTGGTCATTTTCCTTTGGATGAATTCTACAATACATGGTGATATTTTGAATCATGGTACCACTCTCAATTAAAGTTTTTATGTATTTTGAAACCTTCCACTTTTCCATTTACCAAAAAAGACACAGAATTTTGATTGAGAATGATATCACATGTCAAAATAACCCAAGAGGTATGTGTAGAATTTCTCTTTTCCCACCATAACACAATAACATATCAGAAGACAATGCTAGGAGCGCCCACAGCCATATGGGTACTCGTGCTTTTCGACTTGCACTGCATCAATCCGCCAACAAAGCTAGAAGAAACCCAAAGAAAAAAGACCAACTTATTATTGATTGGCAAGTACACTCTATTAAACATAGAAAGGCACACTTCGAGACAATGAGAAACAATTCGCCTAATCATAGCAACCCTAATGGTTCACCACCGAGTTTAATTTTAGGCATTGATTTTAGTGGCATCAAGAGAAAGTAGCTTATGATCAAGTTCAAGCATGGTCATGTCATCTTCAAGCATATTGACCCATGCTTCTATTCCCTCCCCACAACTAGTAGTGGCATCAATACTACCACATTCTTGGCAAAGTTGTGGTGCACACCCAAACTGACTTACCCCAACCATAGTCCACTTCGATCATATACAGGAAATCTCCCCCAACTACTAAAATTACAGTACTCTACCTCTCCATTAGAGAAATTTTCTGTTGCCCTCTTGAGGTAATCCAAGTAGCCATCTCCAATTTTTAGGATCTTCACATAATCGCTGTCGATCTTCCTTATTGCGCTCCTCAGCTTTCTCAAAAGATCACCAAATCCTATCTCACCCTCACACATTGATAGCGCAGTCGCGATCCTCCATATGTTTCCCATGGCGTGGTCCAGGAGAGGTGGATTCATTCTGCTTCTCAAGTTCACTGCATGGTTTGCAACAAATATCTTCTTGGGAGCTAAATTACTTTTAGCCACCTCTATGAAATGGCTCCATATGAAAGCCGAGACAGCCTCGACACGAGTGGGATCCTTCACCTGTCATCCAAAGGCCGAGGACGCGGCCTCTTTGAGTACAGCCAACTTTTTTTTATCGAACACAAACCTTCTTGTCACTATCTTTTCTGTTGTGATGCCTAAGGTTGGCATAAATCCTGATAAGTCTTTTGGTGGGAAATGAAGTGCCAAATCAAAACTAGGGGTTACATTTTCGATAGCCCCACGAGCTGTGGCAGCCCACGCATTGGTGAAGGTGACTATATATGATCCATCGGCTATGTTGTGTGAAATACACAAGCCGATCGCTAAACTTCCACAATCAAAGAAGTTGATTTGGATGGCTAGGAGTGCCTCCCTTCCCATAGCAGCGCTGGTACCATAAGGTTCAATTGGGAGGTATTGTTTTAGGTTTTCAATATTGGGATTTTCGATAACATGTGAGAGTTGAGCATGAACTTGGGCTTCAACATACTCAACTCCAGCATCATTGCAATCCATATAAACATCATTTTTTATCCTTCTGGCTAAAGGGTAAAAGCGAGTTAGGGTATCTGACAAGGATTGTTTCAGTAATTGAGATTTTTGGGCACGATCAATATCGTATCCCAATTCAGGATGATAGAAGAAAATGAGAGGAATATAAACTGGTGGGGCAATTTGGTCTAGGAATGAAAGCTTGTGGTTCCTGAGGTTTTGGGGTGTTGGAGATGATGGTTTAATCATCTCTCTAGAGATCACCTCAACCTGACTCATAACTATGTTGCCTTTTGCTACCTCTAGCAGACACAAATTAAAGGTTGATGTTAATTTGTGTTCTAATTATGAAAATTTCAAAGGAGACTACAACCTCCTTAAATACTTTGAAGCATGAGGATATGAAGAACGGCTAAGCAAACAAAAACAACTGTACCAACTGCATGTATGGACCCACATGCAATTTAAAGAAGATTTCCTTATGTTTTATATAGTCATATAATTACAACCAAATTAACATTGACTCTTGTTTCCTACCCGTCACCATAAATTGAATAATTAGTTTAGAATCAAAACTTCTTACATACAGAAGCTGAGAGTTTGAAAGAATTTCTCAATCTAGGAGAAAAATGGTCAAGTAAAAATTAAGGTGAGTGAAGCATCATTTTTCCTTGCCCTTTTAAAATGTGTCTGAATTTGACTCTACATAAGCAGTATTGCAAACATTATAGTACTTACCTTCAGTGCTATGTGGTTAAATTTAAAAGTAAGGTAAACTTGCCTTTTGTTCGTTTTTTACAAGAAGTCCCACAACAGATTCTTTTTAACATAGGCCGGTACCCCTAAGTTTCTTTCGTTAGTTAATACACACTGAATGTTAAGAGGAGTTATTTTTCACATCGAAATTGAATGGGAGAGTGATTGAGTATATATGTTTGCGTTTAATTCCACCTAATATCTTAAATTTTTTTGTCAGATTGTGAATCACCATGCATATTAAAGTTGATATCAGAGTCGAACCCAATCTTTAATCCGGTATCATGTTAAGTATTAGGAGGCGTCAAGTTGATCCGACTGCGAAACACCTTATCCGTTACACCAATACACTTACAAATTAATAAATTTGGGTACACGCAATACAAATAATTGATATATGACATTTAAAACAAACATACATTTATTATTATTGTTATTATTTTTGTCTCTTTGACACAAACTCAGACACCCAATTGACGGATACAAGGTTGAGAAGATATTACAATTACAACCCTTGACAAACAGATAAACACATTAATAAATATATATTTGTTTACTAAATTTAATCAGTTGATAAACCTGTTAACAAAATATTATTTTTTTTATTTATTTTTATTATAGTTAATAAGGATATATATCTAGGGCTTTGCCCCAACTAAATCTCTGGGACATCGTGCAAAGCGTCCCTACATACTGGTTAGATAAAGTTTGGATTTTCACTTACGGGTGTGGCCTTAAGAAATTATTTATTATATTCAAGGGGATTTAAATCTTAGACCTTATAGCTTCACGAAGCACTAGAGTTAAGTGACTTAGAATACGTTTGGGATTGCCTCTCTACTTCTTAAAAGCGCTTTTATTTTAAAAATTTACGTTTAAATGTGTTTGGTAACCATTATAAGTGCTTTTAATGGTTACCAAATTTTGTTCAGTTAGAATTTAGATCTTTTTAAAACTGTATTATGAGTAAAGGTTGAATATTTTAGGTAATTTTTTTTCATTAGACAATTTTGTCCTTTTAATTTTTTAATAAAGACAATTACACCATTTCCTTAATAAAGTTACTATTATCAAATATAGTAGCATCATATTAAAGGATATTATTATAAAATTAACAGAAGTATTTGCAAAAAAATTGTTACCAAATAATTTTAATTATGAAAAATACTAATTATATTGTGTCACCAAACATTTAACTTGCTTATTATTGACCGCAATTTTTTGACAGCTCTATCGATAAAAACATTTTTTTATTCCAATAGCAACCCTATCAACGAGCTCTTAGCACTCCAGCAATAATTGTATGAGTACATTTTCAATTTTTTTCACCATTAGAAATCTTATATAATATACACAATCTCTGCCAAGCGAGAGAGGTATATTCTTGTCTCTCTCTCGTTTTTTACGTGTGTGAAGGTACAGAAAGTGGCCTGGGCTACACTCAGGCTAGGCCACTAGGTTCAGAATGCCATTGGACTGTTAGGCCACATACGATCCACCAGGCCCAGAGTGCCATCGGAGCATGTCCAAGCCAACCTCGTCAGCATTATGAACGGGCCTTCCTTCCATTACGGCCTGAAGAGGAGACCCAACTTAGAAGGACAAGCCTGAGAGTTAAGAGAGAGGTTTTAGGGCAAATGTTCACTTTTATAAATAAAAGTTAGAAAGAGAGAGAGAGGAATATTGTTTGGAGTGTAAGAAAAGACTTTTATAATACATAAGAGAGAATTCTTGCATCTTTAGTGTGGGACCTTGATTGTTTTTCTATCAATTGATTTTCTTCTTTCACACTATTTTATAACTCGTGGCTTCTTCTATCCCTTCTCAAAATTAAATTGGAGTAAAGTGCAAAAAAATTAAAAATAAAATAAAAAAACTCCTAAGCTATCACTCATTTAAAATCAGCCTCCTTGAACAATAAAAAGCGCTCATGAACTATGATAAATATAATCGAAAATGAGGCAACTCTATTAATGAACTTTTAACAAACAAAGAAAAATACAATTTTACCATTTCTAGTAAAAGTTATAAATTATTGTCCCAAAAAAAATAAAAAAAATGTCAATCTTTCCAATTTTGGATGTCCCAAAATAATTGCCCTATTTGAAAAGTCAAAAGTACTATTTTTTTGTAACATTACCAATTTAACCTTCTTACATTGAACTTATAAAAAGTAAACATTACATATATGTGGACACACTATGGATAATTTGGTAATTCAATCACAACCACTAAAAAAAAAAAACTCATCCTCATAAAAAGTTAGATTCCTGAAAAGAGACATTTATTTTAGGACAGAGGGAGTCCTATTCGGATAAACACCAAATATCTTCTTCTCCACTCCATCCCTCAATCCGTTGATCACCACATCCTACCCTCTCTCTATCACCACAACCACCACGGTCATCTTTGCAGTCGTTGCCCAACCGCTATCTCTCAATTTGAAAATTTTGAGAATTAATTGATCGTATCCTTTTCATTGATTTGTTTATATAAATATATATATATGTTATACTCTAAAAACCGAATTCCTTGATTTTAATAGAACCTAGAATAATGTACATAGAAATAACACAATCCTTTACAAGAACAAATGTTGTAGAATCTGAATCTAGTACATAGAAATAACATTATCCCATTTACAAGAACAAACATTGTAGAATATGGAAATTAAGTGGATTAAGTTATAGGACTAAGTTGTAGGAAATGTTGTGATGTAATATACCTCCTCAAGTTCCAGTGTGGATATTGTAAACACCTAATTTGACTAGAAAGGATTGGAGTAGTGTTTTGTCAAAGGTTTGGTAAACAAATCAGCAAGTTGTGAACTCATGGAAACATATAATGTTTTGATAGTCCCATCTTTGATTCTATCATGAACAAAATCACAATCGATTTTGAATCCTTTATTCTTTCATGAAACACGGGATTGGAAGCAATATGAAGTGTAACTTGGTTGCTGTATAATTAACAACAAAGTGGACATGGTTTGAGAGACGCCCAAGTTATGAAGAAGTGCGTAGCTGATACGTTGCTGACCAATGCAATTAGAATTGTGGAATGTCGATGCTTCGAAAACTCTAATTTTGAATTTATAAAAACCAATACAACAACTATATTTTGAGTATAGTGAATAGGGACCGAATACAAGGACTATAGGCTTGAATTGAGTTTAAAATTAATGAACTTGAGATTGAAAAGATTATGATTGGTTTGTTTAGACTAATTCTGAAGTTAAGCTAATTAAAAATGCGATTGAGATAATATGAAAACTAAATTGGATTAAAATAAGAGTGAGAGACTTAGGGTATGGATTTCACCACTAAGCTCATACAAATGCGTCAAATACCTTCAATTAGTGGGGAGATTAGGTTGTATAACAAGGATGTGGCTACAAGCACACATCAATGAACAAAATGATACTATAATTGCAATGAATAAGCATGAACTATCAAACTCATGTATGAAATATCCACCTAACTACAACTAAACTAAAAATGTGGTACAAATCATTAAGACTATGCATAATTCATCAGATCAATAATAATTATATCTAAAGTAAAATATTGCATGGCCATCATTGCATACAATTACAAAGAGCATTTAATGTAGAGATCAATCATTAATTCAACTTCACATAAGCCAACATATAGAGAATTAAAGAGTGATATAGGAATTCAGCGAATCAATATTTGATACAACCAACCATGAATCCTCAAGACCAAGCAAACATATACAACTAATAATCTCTAAAAATTAAAGTTAAATGATACAATTACAAAAACTTAGGATTCATCCAAACCCTAAGTGAAGATCTAGCCGGCCATGGAGAAGAAGGATGTGGTCTTCAAGGTTTCAATCCACATCTCCAAGCCTTGTTGCATCTTTTTCTTCTTCCTTGCGATCAAACCCTAAAGAAAGAAACCCCTCCAATATTGATTACAAGTCTCCTAAAATAACTCCTATAACAAGGGAATTCATTTCTTATTTATAGTTGACTCTAAGGTTCCAAAATAGGTCAGACTGCGTACATCCCAATCTGATTTCCATGCCCAGAACTTGGTAACTATTGTATAGTATTGTTTGAGTTGTCACACGTGTACAATTAGTATTGTCTGAGTTGTCACTTATCCCTCATTACCATATATAGATTACCATGTATAGGGTTTTCTTGTTCTCCACTCACCTACTCCCGTAGCTTCTCCTATATAAACACCATTGTGTTGTTGTATTACTGACTAAATAACATATATTCTCTTTCTCTCTCTCTATTTCAACATTGTATCAGAAGAAAATTGATCCTTCTTTAATTTTTTTTTAGTCTTATTCAAACTCCGATCTTGATTCCATCTCGGCTTTCTCTCAATCTCTTCTCGGCGATCTCTACTTGGTGATCTGAGTTCTCGTCTTAGCAATCTCTCTCGGATCCCTCCTCGACTCTCTCCTCGATAATTTATCTCGGGTTCATCTAAACTAGATCTTGGTTCTCTTATCTCGGCTCCCTCTCGCTACTATATCTCATT